TTTCAGCTTTACAGTGGACCTAAACTGAAAAAGAAACTGCAAGCGGGCAGCCTCTTTATTTCAGACATACTATTTCTTTAAACTTAACTACCACAATCATTATTAGATTTTTACAATCATTATTAGAATGTACACTGAGCTGCTCATGTGCAGCTCAGTGTACACTCTCAGCACACCCTAGTGCCGCAATGATTGAATGTGGTAATTATGTCATTCTGGCCTTGCCAATAAAGATGGCCGTAGATCTCAAAACCAAAATAAGAAGATTGGGTGAAGATGATGGCCCCAGCGAGGGAAGGTGAGCTTAGTTCTACTTTAGAGGGATGAGTTATGAATCCTCCATCAAGAAATACAATGGCCAAATGCTGTTCACACAGCATTCTCACCAGTAGATGGAGCCGACGAGCATAGGAAATTCTAGCATAGGCTTCGCTTAGTGGCGAGAATGTCATGTGAATGGGATTCACCGCGTATGTGTCAGCAGATGATTTATAAATCATCCTCTAAGGCCTCGTTCACACCAGATCCAGTGCGTTCTGGCCCAATTCTGGCCAGAATGAACTGCATCGCATTGCGCTCAGGTGCGATCAAAATAGTGCTTGCAGCATTTTGATCGCACCGGACCGCAGGGATAATGTGCCTTGCGATCCCGTGAGGCCGATCACATTGCGGCTGGAGGCAGTGGCTACGGTGCCATTCACTTCAATGGCCTGCCACGCCCCCTCCTGCCCCACAAAAAAGTGAGCCGGCCGCAATGCGAGGCAGTCCGTTCTGGCCAGCATCGTGACGGATTGCACTGCATCTGGTGTGAACGAGGCTTTAGTGATTACTGTTTTGCTATCAACAGTATATGAATCCAGTCTAATCAAATTGATATCAGAGGCACGGATAGCATTCCTGCCGCAGCTGAGGCCGATCTAGATAATTTGTCACTCTGGCTGCTTGGACAGTATGGTTGATATTTGCCAGCATTACACATACAATTCAAATTGTGTTCATTTGACAAAATATTTGTAAACTAAAGGACTAAAGGGTATAAAATGTTTTTACCCCCCCCCTCCCCCCCCCCAAGTCTGATCAAGACTCCCACACTATGTTTATAGCAATTATATTGTCTGTATGGCTTATGTAGCTGGTTTGTGGGGTTGTCACTATATTAAAAGTGCATATACAGTAAGCAATCTTAGGTGTGGTAAGTTAACAGAGAAATGCCATTCACCAGTACAGGATATTATCCCTAAATAAAACAAATCCAATAAAGGGGCAAAGGTGATGTGATGAATATTCAACAAAGTAAATAAAAGATATATGATATGGCAGGTGGTGGTTTACATGTATTTATATATGGATCAGCGGCTACAGTATATTTTGCTTTCTATTTGGGTGTAAGAAAAAAAATGATGCCACCTTCAGGATTATTAAGCAGTATGTTTCTGCTGGCTATACACCATAACATTTCGATTGGCCTATGCAGACAGGTTTTTTTCTCACCACGTTTATGTAAAACATTAATGTTTTTTTGTTTACAGTAGAGTTGGCATCTGTCCTGGATTCATCTGGACAGTCTGGGTTTCGAGTCCTGCAAGTGCTATGTCCGGGTTCCAGGCCAGCTGAAACCTGGACCTGGACTGTCATAATATCAGGTGCAACCACGGGAAGAGGCATGGGACATGGAGGGGCACTGGAACTCTGGGAACAAGGAGGTGTCTGAAACACAGAGTGCAGGTAAGTCTTGAAGGGCACAGGTGTTTTGCTTCAGTCAGATGCGTTGCTCACTATCGCTACTCACTCTCTCTCCTGGCTGTCTCTCCTCTCTCTCCCTTGGCCGTCTCTCCTCTCTCCTGGCTGTCTCTCCTAGCTCTTTCCCTAGCTGCCTCTCCTGGCTCTCTCTCCCCTGGCTGTCTCTCCTAGCTCTCTCTCCCTTGCTGTCTCTCCTAACTCTCCCCCCTGGCTGTCTCTCCTAACTCTCTCCCCTAGCTGTCTCTCCTTTCTCTCTCCCCTAGCTGTCTCTACTTGCTCTCTCCCCTGGCATTCTCCTCGCTCTCTCTCCTTGCTCTCTACCCTAGCTATATCTCCTCGCTCTCTCCCCTGGCAGTCTCTTTCTCTCCTCGCTCTTTCTCCTAGCTGTCTCTCCTCACTCTCCTGGCTGTCTCTCCTTGCTCTCTGTTCTGGCTGTCTCTCATTCTCTCTCTCCTGGCTGTCTCTCCCTGCTCCCTCTCCTGGCTGTCTCTCCCTGCTCCCTCTCCTGGGTTTCTCTCCTTGCTCTCTCACCTGGCTGTATCTCCTTGCTCTCTCCCCTGGCTGTCTCTCCTTACTCTCTCCCCTGGCTGTCTCTCCTCACAGTGTACCATGGCTGTCTCTCCTTGCTCTCTCCCCTGGCTGTCTCTCCTCACTCTCTCCTGTATATTCTCCCCCAAAAAAATTAGCTGAGTGGCACTAGAGTGTTATGATTTCGCTTGAAGAAAAGGTGGCAACCCTAGTTTAAAGCCAGCTTAAGACAGTCATCTAATAATATGGTACAAAGTGCAATGATAAGGTCTCCCACAACCACTTCAACCACTCAGGCTTCACGTTTCCAGCTGTTTAGTGTTAGCAGACTGGTGGACAATTTTGACTGATGAGTTATAAGGGTTACAACACTCTACATTGCAATTTTCTAATGTGATGGTGTTGCCTGGGACAATTCTAATTTGCCACTTACTAGGGATGCACAGATATTTTTCGAGTACCAGTGCAGATACTTGGCATTTTCATGAGAACTACCAGGGTTGCAGCAATTGCAGCTGGGACCTGGCTCTGGTGCTCCACCACTGTCCTGAAATCATTAGTCTGTATTGTTTTAGAAAAACTGTCACATGACAATAAACAAAAATGTATCAGTACTCGTACTTGTAAGTACTCGGCAAGTACCAGTACTCGTACTCACAAAACTGGTATCTGTGCATCCCTTTATTTATATTTATAAAAACAAAATAATTCATTAAAATAGAGATGTACTAATCCCAGGAGCCCCGTGTGCTCCTTACAAATGACAGCTGCCTCCTAACTTTTGATTTTTTTTCTAGTGTAGTCTTGGAGCTCAAAAGTATCGGTACATGTACTCGTATCCCTGGCTGTCTCTCCTCACAGTGTACCATGGCTGTCTCTCCTTGCTCTCTCCCCTGGCTGTCTCTCCTCACTCTCTCCTGTATATTCTCCCCCAAAAAAATTAGCTGAGTGGCACTAGAGTGTTATGATTTCGCTTGAAGAAAAGGTGGCAACCCTAGTTTAAAGCCAGCTTAAGACAGTCATCTAATAATATGGTACAAAGTGCAATGATAAGGTCTCCCACAACCACTTCAACCACTCAGGCTTCACGTTTCCAGCTGTTTAGTGTTAGCAGACTGGTGGACAATTTTGACTGATGAGTTATAAGGGTTACAACACTCTACATTGCAATTTTCTAATGTGATGGTGTTGCCTGGGACAATTCTAATTTGCCACTTACTAGGGATGCACAGATATTTTTCGAGTACCAGTGCAGATACTTGGCATTTTCATGAGAACTACCAGGGTTGCAGCAATTGCAGCTGGGACCTGGCTCTGGTGCTCCACCACTGTCCTGAAATCATTAGTCTGTATTGTTTTAGAAAAACTGTCACATGACAATAAACAAAAATGTATCAGTACTCGTACTTGTAAGTACTCGGCAAGTACCAGTACTCGTACTCACAAAACTGGTATCTGTGCATCCCTTTATTTATATTTATAAAAACAAAATAATTCATTAAAATAGAGATGTACTAATCCCAGGAGCCCCGTGTGCTCCTTACAAATGACAGCTGCCTCCTAACTTTTGATTTTTTTTCTAGTGTAGTCTTGGAGCTCAAAAGTATCGGTACATGTACTCGTACTTGTACCGAGTACTGTACTTGGTATCTCTGCAACCCTACCACTTACTATAAACGGAAGGTAATTCAAGGGACCTGTAGGCTGCTTTTGCTTCTCTACGAGTCTTATAATCCCTAAAACCCAGGGTGGTCTGTAATATAATTGCCAGCCAATCTTCCTGGCTGCTGCCACTGGTCCTGCTCACCATTTTCTTGTGTGCTTTATTGTTGGCCCACCACTGTGAGGTTAGGTGGTGGCTACTAACCAATAGTAAGGCATATAGCAAGAGAGAGGGACAAAGGAACAGAAAGATTGGTTAGTAACTATTTTACAAAACATTCTACTAGGTTTTGAAGGTCCTGGGATGTTCTACAGGGGAGGCAGTTAGCTAGAACTTGGAAATATCTGCCATTTACAGTAAATGCCAATTTAGAATCCCCCACCCCCATAGATTTGCTTTGATTTTAAGTATTTCCTTAGCACACTGTACTGGGTTCTCGTGACATCCTTCTATATTGCTGAAAAATCAGTGTCTGGATTCCACAAGAGGTGGGCATAAACACTATACCCACCTCCTGCCTCCCAAGAGCCCTTTCTGTTGTGGGCCAGGGAAGGCACAGTATCATATAGAGAGAAGCTAGAAGGCTGTAAGCCAAAGGGGGGACACTGATCTCTTTAAATGGTGCACAGTGTCTGATTTTCTTTTTAGGCAGGCTACAGTAACAACAATGTCTAAAAAATCTGCACTGAAAGTGCACCTCTATGATAACATTATAAAAAGACCAACTTCTTTACATAGAGCCTTATTTAACATCATGCTGAAAAAGTAATTGGAAATTACCATATGCAGCCTTCCCTTGTTGTGGTTGATTTTAAATTGTAACAATTGATATTTAAACTATGTATAATAACCTTATGTAAGCAACCAAATATCAGCTTTTGGATGTTCAGTGGGGTTAGACATTGTTTACTTGATTTATTATTATTTATTGCACTTTTTATCATGTTATGCGCTATATGAATAGTTGCTTAATTACAGCATGGTGATGCCTTGATTTCGAATCCAAAATCTTGCATAAGCATAGCTTAGTGTATTACTATTGTGTGTCTCTTCACCATGTCGCTGTTGTCTATGTAATATTAAAGCTGAGGAATGCTGGGCCCCTTTTATCTCCAGGTCCCTCTGTCTCCTCCCAAGGACTCCCCGGATCCTGACAACAGGCAGAGCAATGCAAGGGGCCCTCACTTAATTGAGTCACTTCTGTGCATGCCACCTCTAAAGTGCTGACACCAGCATGGACAGCAGGGACCACATGGATCTTATTAGCTGCCCTCTGACGCAACAGCAGACAGCGAAATATTTTTCGGAACCCCTTTCGGAAGTGCTTAGAGACCAAAGCATACACCACGGGATTAACACAAGAATTGGCATAAGACACCAGGTGTGAGAGGATACGTAGGGCATATGTAAAGTTATTAAGGGGAAAGTATCCAAACCAGACACAAAGAATGACCAAGTGGTGGGGAAGCCAACACAAGCAGAACAAGACAGCAACAATGATGATCATGCGAGTCACTCTTCTCTTAGCCCTCTTGGATTCTGACATGCCTTCAATAGGGTCTACAGATGTCCAGAGGTATCTTATGGTACGGGCATAAGTGAGACTGAGAATCAGCACAGGAATGACATAGCTGAAGACAAACGTACAAAGGTCCATGGTCTTGCGATGGGAGATTTGCCAGACTGGGTGGCAGACAGTTAGATTAGCCAACTGAAATTCCTGATAGTAGCTGAGATAAGGTCCAGAAAAGATCAAGGACAAGCTCCAAATGAGTGTGATAGCCATCAGGGCATTCTTGGGTGTGCGCAATTCCCGGGAACGCAATGGATAACGTATTGCAAGATACCTGTTAAAACAGTAATGAATAATTCAGTGGCAAATATTTACATACCTTTTCCTCCAATATATATAATACTGTAGTAAATCTTGTATTACAATAATACATTCACTTAATTTTCCTTAGGAAAAATGCATAGATTTTCTATGCTCAATAACCCCACTATAGCACTTACAACTACCCAATTAACAAAACAGGATGTGTCTGAGTACCATTTTCTTTGATTTTTAAACAATGATATTTCTAAGAAATATGAACAGCATAAAGGGAATGAATTTTTATTGGAAGTGTTGCGACATGACTGTGTCTCATGTTAAACCCTAAGGTAAACTGATCCTATAAGTTGTCCCAAACACACACAGTGGTCTTACCTAGGAAAAACATAACATCCTTCTTTGCTACAAAACATAGATACCAAAATGTACACACAAATGCTAGCAAAGAGGTTCCTATTTTACCCCAAATCATTTTGTTTGCCCAAGTGGAGTTAGTTTGTGGAAGGAAGGACAGGGACAACACCCGAAAACAATAAATATTATACTGTATACAGTCTTATCATTTCCACTGTTGAGGGCCTTCTCCTATCCCCGATTGCAACATTTTGTCTCAGGCTCAATATTAGGTTGTAGATTATGTTTACTAGTTTCTTATCCCAATGCAAGAATAAGAGTGAATGGGATACTTTCAGAATCATGCAACAAAACAATACCCACCAAGGGTGCCCATTATTATATTAACATTTATGATTTATCCTAATCCTATACATTTTTGGAGATCAGCTCAACAAAACCCAGACATTCATGGTAGTAAAATAAACCAAGAACAATACAAAATAACATAATTTGTTGATTATGTGCTCTTTTTTTTAATCCCAACTTAGGGTTTCTCATTTCAAATTCTTGAAAGCACTCTAGCATTGCACTACATATAGTGAAAAATCCCCTACTCATATTTAACAGTCCTTAATATTTATCTTCCCCAAACCTCTTGCCTTTCTTCGGAATTACTCAATACTTCTGAAATTATTGTATATTATTCAAATGACACTAAAAGCTCTAGCAAGAGATACCCTCCTGAAACTATGCGAATTAGTTTATACTACCCAAGGACAATGGAGGAATGGCTTTTATAAATATCAGAAATTATTTAGTGAGCTCTTGCATAAGGATTGTGGAATATTAAAGACATTGATCCTAAAAAGACTGGTTTGTCCAAGCATGAAAACTTTCTCTTGCCTCCCTGAAATCAGCTTTATGAAGGACCGAGATCACCAACAACTCTTAATCGTAGGGCTAGGGACTCCACTCTAGATAAACTTAAGCTATCTCAGTAGAGTTCTCAGATAAATTCCTGAGCATGTGGCCTTAAGTAACCCCATCTCTGTGTCCTTTTTTTGTGAACAGGACAACACAATACTTTACAAGTTTAAATGACAAGTCAATGTCAAACCCAATTATGTGAATACCTGGAGATTAAACACTTTATAATTATACCTGGGCATAAATGGATGATTCTCAGACATATGACAATGTTTGAAAAAATTTGTTTGTACCCAGAGAACTAAACATCAACTCCCTTGTATAAGACTACAGATGAACCAATGATTAAAAATTTCAAGAGGCAAAGGAAAGGGAACTGAAGAATAAATTCACAGTGGAAAGGTGAGTGGACTAGAACATGTTCAGTTCTTGTTTAATCAACTCTAAGATAAAGCAAAACAACTACGAATGATAACAGGTTGGAAGAGTACTTCAGGGGTTCTCTATGAATCTTTTACCAACATTCCTAAACTGCTGGTCCAGAAAAATGGACAATGCTTCATTGGAGAAGAATGGATATTCCTTGATTTGAAAAAATAAACCACATTGCTAAAAAGATTTACTTTACTTTACTCACATTTGTGATCAGGCATGGGTCCATTACCATATCAAACAGAAAAGAGTTCATTTACATAATAAACCTTACTTGTAAAGATGCAAACTAACAATCACTTTATGTGTGGCAGTTCTTTGTTTCTTCTCTCCTTTCTTCCTAAACTTTTTATCCCCAGATTCCCCCAATTCACATTTTCTTGTCATAACACTTTTTCCCCCTCTCTTAATTTCTAATTTCTATGACCAGTTTCCATCCTAACTATTTTCGTATACTTGGCTGGTGCACCTTACCTATCTGGAAGGAACCACATCGCGCTAATCAATATGAGGTTTCAATTGTATAATAATTAGGGATGCATCGATACTAGTATCGGTATCGTGCCGAGTATTAGGGCGAGTACTGTTACTTGCCCAAATGCTCCGATGCCTGGCCTGATACTTAAGCTTCCCGGCCAATCAGGAAGCCCGGCAGCGTGTCATTACACCCCCCGGCTTTCTTATTGGCCAGAGAGCTGGTTTCAGGCTCCCTCGTCAGGGATCATGGAGACAGCTCCCCTGCTAAGCCGGGCACCGTGTAATGACATGGTGCCCGGCTTCCTGATTTGCCAGCTTCTTGAGCAATCAGGAAGCCGGGCAACACATCATTACACGGCGCCCGGCTTCCTGATTGGCCAGAAAGCCGGCTCGATGCTGTCTCGTCACCTGGTGACAAGGGAACATGGAGACGGTTTCCCTGCTAATCGTGGAGTCCTTACATGCTGCCTGGCTTCACAGGTAATCAGGAAGCCAGGTGGCAAGTCATTACATGCCGCCTGGCTTCCTTAATGGGACTTTCGATATCGCTATTCGGTATCGACGAGTACCAGGAAAAAAATATCAGTACTCGTACTTGATACCGAAAAACCGGCATCGGTCCATCTCTATTCATAATACAACTCTTACTACAGCACTGAACAATACATATCATGAGGTGAACTAATGTGGAAATATTCCCAGGACTGGAGGCATATTGGATAACATTATTCTACTTCTACCAATGACTCTCTCAATTATATGCTTATGGTTGACACTTGACAATACAATAAAAACTATTTTTTTTCTATTATCATTTTATGGTTGAAAGTACTGCGATTTTTTTTATAGTCATGCTCTTTTCTATATAACTATATTAAATGTAAAAAAACGTTTGTACAGCTAGCACTGTCTACCTGCTCAGCACTTATTGTGTTTATCCAGGCATCACTGTAGGGCATAAGGTTGCCACCTGTCCAGGATTCACCCGGACAGTCTGGGTTTTGAATGCTGTGTCCGGGTTTCAATAGCTAAATTCACAGATAGAATACATATGGAGGGGCTGTTTTACTTGCCAAAAGAGATTAATTTCTGTCCATCAAGCTCTGATATTTGAAATCCTGTATTTTAATAATAATAATAATAATAATAATATTTGCACAGCTCTGCCACACAGCCCAGCCCATTTCTAACAGGAGAGGGGACCTAGTCTTTCTCTGCTGCCATTTTGCCTTCAAGTCCACTCCGCTCCCACACTGTGAATGGCATTGAAAAGAGAAGCAGCATGCTGATGAGCTCATCTCTCTGCTCCTCCCACTGCAGCACACATGATCGGCTTCTTGTGCTGCTTCTCCTTTGCCCTCTCTGTACAGTAGGCTGCAAAAGGATGAAACTATGTCGAATTCAGGTACTTACATTGCTTATATAAAAAATACATTTCTTGATGTATTATTGAATACAGAGCAGCATTAATGTGTGCCTGTAAACTTCTGAATTAAGTTTAGCCTTAAAAATGAAAAAAATTGCAAACATCCCTAGTTCATCTTTCAATGGTAATACCTCCTAAAGTGCTTTGTTCACAAATTACATGGAACGATTGAGCTATTGATCTCTGTGTCACTCCCTAATTACTGTCTGCTATACAATGTTAATGGTAATGGAAAGAAATCTCTCTCTAATTATTCATGTTGCAATCACATAAACGTGAATCATGTGTTCAGTGATTCTCGATTGCTGTAAATATGCTTTATTAAGGACCATTTAGTGTGATTACCAATCTATAAATCTCAGGCGCTTTTACATGATTATAGACAAGTATCATTAACTGAACATTACTTGACAGCTAAATTGAAATTGTTATTATATTTATTTCATCTTTCATTTCATTAGTCCATTAAAGATCATTCTGACATTGTTTGTTGTTCAGTAGTGGCTTGACAAGAGGAATACGACATTTGAAGCTCATGTCCAGGATCTGTCTGTGTGTGGTGGCTCTTGATGCACTGACTCCAGCCTCAGTCCACTCCTTGTGAAAGTCCCCAACACTTTTGAATGGCCTTTTCCTGACAATCCTGTCCAGGCTGCGGTCATCCCTGCTGCTTGTGCACCTTTTTCTTCCACACTTTTCCGTTCCACATAACTTTCTATTAATGTGCTTTGATACAGCACTTTGGGAACATCCAACTTCTTTTGCAATTACCTTTTGAGGCTTTCCCTCCTTATGGAGGGTGTCAATTATGGTTTTCTGCACAACTGTCAGGTCAGCAGTCTTTCCCATGATTGTGATTCCTACTGAACCAGACTGAGAGACCATTTAAAGGCTCAGGAACCCTTTGCAGGTGTTATGGCTTAATTAGCTGATTAGAGTGGGACACTTTGAGCCTAGAATATTGCACCTTTTCACAATATTCTAATTTTCTGAGATTGTGGATTTGGGGTTTTCATGAGCTGTAAGCCATAATCATCACAATTATGACAAATCACGGCTTGAACTATCTTGCTTTGCATGTAATGAGTCTATCTCATATATTAGTTTCACCTTTTAAGTTGCATTAGTGAAATAAATGAACTTTTGCACGATATTCTAATTATTCGAGTTTCACCTGTATAAGAAACCTCTATCATGGATCCACAGCACACCAGCTCACCTTGAGTACTCGAGTCGATTGCTATGGGTTACGCCAACTCTGAATTCTTCTTGTCTAGGGATACATTCCTTTGCTTTGCCCATCAGCACTTTCTGGTGATCGATTGAAGTGAGTTCCAGACTGTAGTTATGATGGTTTCATTGCAGAACTTCAGGGAGAGAGGAGAAGGGTTAGGCTCCATTCACATATAGCGTTT